AAAAGTGTCCGTTCATATCCTTTCCCTACTTTTTCATGGGTTGTTTACTTTTTTCTTGTAAATTTGTTTAAGTTTCCTGTAGATTCTGGATATTAGACCTTTGTCACACGGGTAGACTGCAAATATTTTCTCCCATTACATAGGTTTCCTGTTAACTCTGATGATAGTTTTCTTTTGCTGTGCAGAAGCTCTTTAGCGCAATTAGATCCAATTTGTCAATTTTGACTTTTGCTACAATTGCTTTTGGTGTTTTCATCATGAAGTCTTTGCTCAAGCCTCTGTACTAAATGGTGTTGGCTAGATTTTCTTCTAGGGTTTTTGTGGTTTGGGATACTACCATTAGGTCTTTAATAAATCTTGAGTTGATTTTTGTATAAGGTATAAGGAAAGGATCCAGTTTCAGTTTTCTGCATCTGGCTAGCCAGTTTTCCCAGCACCATTTATTAAATTTCCCTTTTGTTTGTTTTTCTCAGGAGACAGCAATTTCATAGAGGAGAAATAAAGTGAGAAATTAAAACAACTGATAAATGTGATCACAGATGTCTCAAAGCAAACTTTAGTCAGTCTTTAAAAGGAGGATTAGGAATATTTCAAGTAACATCAATAGAGTATTCCAGAGACAAAAAAGAAAAGATTCAAAGAAAAATGTAATAAAGGGCATGGTGATTCAAGGGACTGGTGTGGAGTTCTTTGTGGTAGGAGTTTAGAGACAGATCTAAACAGAATATTAAGGTATAATCACAAAGATGGATGTAAATCTGTGATGAAACGCGTTACACTAAGCTAAAAAGTGTTAATTTTAACTTTAGGTACTGTGTATACCAGGAACAAGATTATCAAAACTTTTAAAGAATGGAATTCTGAAGGCAATATGCAAAATTGAAATTTTTGGTAAGGAATTCAACAGAATGTTATAATATTTCAAGCAAAAAATAGTAAGGTCTGGAACAGAGGCATTGAAGCAACAATGGAAAGGCTAAAACAGAGTATATAGTTACTTTTATTACAGATGATGGGGATTTTTTGTTCAACCCTATGTGAAAATAAAATAATAAAACACTGAAGAAGAACATCTTGCAATTTTCTGTTTTAATAGAAAAGGTAGGCCGGGCATGGTGGTTCATGCCAGTAATCCTAGCACTTTGGGAGGCCAAGGCAGGTGAATCACCTGAGGCCAGGAGATTGAGACCAGCCTGGCCAACATTGTGAAACCACATCTTTACTAAAAATATAAATATAAGCCGGGCATGGTGGCACGTGCCTCTAATCCCAGCTACTTGGGGGGCTGAGGCAGGAGAATCACCTGAACCGGGGAGGTGGACATTGCAGTGGGCCAAGATGATGCTCCTGCACTCCAGCCTGAACAAAAAGAGCAAACTCCAACTCATAAGGAAAACAAAGATGATAATGCTAATGAAAATCAAGGATACTGGTAGAAGGGCATCACATAATATAACCATGTAACAAATCTAAATATGTACAATCAACTGCTTTGTAATTTGGGTGAGCCACGTTGTGTTAAAGGAATCTAGTCATAGTTCCATTTGGATATGTATAAATTTATGAGGGAAGATGGGACAAGGATAGAAACAACAGGGTCATTGTGTAACTGAGGTTGTACATTAAAAAGAAGTGTTAAGAAAAAATTATTAATGTGAGTTAAAAGAAAGCAGAAGACAGGACTTTTAAGGACTACTAGCAATTAAGGGTGGACAGAAAAGAAGGAACAAGAAAATAGTATATGGACAGTTAATATTTTGAGAAAAAATGTCATGAAATATTTTTGTAAATGAGAAAAGAAAGGTATCTCAAAACTACAGAATATGTGAATAAATAATCACATCAGGTGTCTTAGTCCATTTGTGCTGCTACAAAGGAAGACCTAAGACTGGGTAATTTATTTTGAAATAATGTTTGACTCATCATTCTGCAGGGTAACAAAGAAGCATGGGATAACATCTGCTTTTGATGTGGTCCTCAGGAAGCTTCTACTCATGCTGGAAAATAATGAGAAGGTGATGCATGTCAATATCACATGGTCAGAAGGCAGAAGCAAGAGAGAGGAAAGGGAGGTGCCAGAATCTTTTAAACAACCAGCTCTCTCTGTTACTAATAGAGTGAGAACAAACTTACTTCCCCACCCTTCCAGAAAGATTCATGAAAAATGCATCCCCATGATGCAAACACTTTCCATTAGGTCCCACCTCCAGTATTAGGGATCAACTTTCAACATTAGGTTTGGAAGGGACCAACATGCAAACTAATATATACATAGACACACACACACACATATATCACACATATTTATTATATAATAAGCATGGCATGTTATTTGCCTGTTTTTTTCTTACACCAGGTTGATGACATCCTCAAGAAATCCTAAGTTATCAATGGTGATAATTTTGTTATATACACAAAATAGAAAATAAATATATTTTGTTAAATTCAACAAAGATATCAGGTTCATGTACTAGGCAAAATCTAGTGACTGGGGAATATATCACTTAACGAAAACAATGTTCCTCATGAAATTCCAGTTTAACAAATCAGAAAATAAAAAGGTAAATAAGTATATAATGTGTCTAGTAAAATGTTAAGGAAAAAAATTTAAGCAGGTTAAGAAACACAGAGTGGTGTTGCAAGCATATGCCAGTTTAGTTTGTGTGGGCATGAAAGGTTCCACAGCATATCAGTGTTTGGGCACAGACCAGTAGGAAGTGATGATGTGAACCATGTGGATGCCTGCAAAGGCTTTGAGCTAAGGAGTGATTTCATTTAAAGAGCTTTTTAAAAGGATCCTTCTGGCTTCTCTGTGATTACTTGATTGTAGGTGGATAGCTAGGGAAGAAATTTAAAGGCTTTTTAGAAACACATTTCAGGAAAATAGTAGTTAGAGATAATGGGATCTTGCGGCAAGTTAGGGTTTCTCAATCTAGGTACTCTTGCCATTTTTGAAGGGATAATTTGTTGCTGTGAGACACTGCCTGTACTTTGCAGGATGTTTAGTAGTACCTCTAACCTCTACCCATTGAATGACAGTAGCACCCTGATGTTTTGACAAGCAAATATATCACCAGATACTATCCAATAATATGAGTAGGGAGAAAAATCACCCTCAACTGAGAACCACTGATTTCTGTAGATAGTGGAGGAGTGAAAGAATGTGTAAAGAGATATATTTCATAGATAAAGCTGAAAGAAATTTCTTGTGAATTGGACAGATACTGTGAGAGACATGATGCCAAGGTTCCTGACTTGAACAGCTGGATGATTAAATTGCCATTCCTGAGATCTGGAAGACTAAAAGTGTAGTGGGAATCAATATATAAGTTTTGGCCTTACTAAGGTTGAAAACAGTTAGTTATAAAAGTACAGTTTAAGGGAGAGCTCAGGCTGTGTATATACATTTGGTTGCTATATGTAGATAGATAGTATATAAAGCTATAGCATAGACGAACTTTTCTAGAGAATTGGCAGACATAGAAAAGAGAGGATATATTCAGAGAATGAGCTCAGGGCTCTTCCAGTGTTGAGAGCTGGGGAAGATGAGGAGGATCTTCAATGGAGAATGAGTGTGCATGTGCATGCATGCTGATGTGTGTGCTTGATCATCTATTACTTTTATTATCTCAACTTCTTTTAAGGAGTAAAAAGAATAAAAGGTAAAAAAAAAAAAACACAATGTAGTCTGAATGAGAATATTGTTGTGTTATGGAAATTTTTAGTGACAAAACACCAACTTAACTGTGTCTACAAAACATTTTTCTTTTTACATTAGCAACTCCTTCCTTTGGGGAATTGCCCCCTCTCTCCCCATCAAACCTGGTAATTTGGTACTGGCAATGAACCATAATTCCCATCTCTTTAGCTGTAATAAAGATGATCTAACCCAAAATTTTCTGAGCTCAGGAGCTGCTGGCAGCCATTGTGGAAAAATTTTGTGCATTAAAAAAATTCTCTATATATTAAGGGAGTAAATATAGACTGACAGCAGATATCTTAATGGCATCTGATGCTCTGGTCTAGGATTTTTGATGCCAAATATACTTTCAGCCTTAAGAAATTTTGTTCTGATACTAAATATTCATCACATCCTATTTCAAGTTGGAATTCTCTCACTTGAAACCAAAATCATTCTGCCTAAAATAACAATGCAAAATGAGTAAATAATGCCAAACACCCATCAAATATGTTTCAGTATTATGTACACAAAACAGAGAAGAAAAAATTCAATAAGCATAGCATGATGTTACCTAAAATTATTTGACTGTTTTTTTCTTACTCCAGGTCGATGACATACCAAATAAATCCTAAGTTTTCAAATGTTAATTTTCCTAAACCCCCTAAAAATAGTTTCAAAATGTTGATAGTGAGAGGCACTTGGAATTATTTTATTGGTGTCATAAATCCGTATGGAAACAACAAATTTATATTTTATGTGGATGTTTAAAATGTTCTTACCTAAAAAGAGAATTCTAACATTTGAAAAATTAGGATCCATTGAACTATGACATAATTTATGATCATTTCCTTTTATTTTAAAATAGGGCCAGGCATCATGGCTCACGACTGTAATCTCAACATTTTGGAGGCTGAGGTGGCTGGGTCATTTGAGCCTAGGAGTTTGAGACCAGCCTGCACAATATAGCAAATTTCCATCTCTTAAATGATACAAAAATTAGCCAGGCATTTTGGTGCATGCCTCTAAATATACAAAAAAAAATAGCCAGGTGTGGTGGCAGGTGCCTATAATCCCAGCTACTCAGGAGGCTGAGGTAGAGAATTGCTTGAACCTAGAAGGTGGGGGTTGCAGTGAGCTGAGACCTCACCACTACACTCCAGCCTGGGCAACAGAGTGAGACTCTGCCTCAAAATAAAATAAAATGAAGAAAGAAAAAAAAAAGAGAGAGAGAGAAAAGAAAGAAGAAACTTCTAGTCATTTGTATGCCTCTTTTCTTTTTTTTTTTCAGGATGGAATCCTCTTTACTGAGAGCCACTGGTATCACCAAGGTTGGTGGACTCTGATTCTCATCTGCACCCATCGGTGAGACAGCTGGGGTTGCAGGATTGAGGAACCCTGCTAGCTGCTCTGCATCCCAAGGCTCTGAGGCTGAGGGAGTCATGTGCGAGGTGTTACGTCCAAACCAGCCCACGCTAAGTAGCCGGAATCTGGAACCTGAAGAAAGCTGGTGCAGTGCCCATCAAATCAGTTCCCACAAAGCCATTCTCGGTGCGCAGTTCAGTTTCTATGAGGCCTTGCCCGAGGTCTTTTAGAGGCTTATAATGATTGGCTGTCATCAGATTCCCTGAGAAACAGCAGTTAGGATGCATGGTTCCTCCAAAACTTAGATGGTTTTCTGAAAGCACTCAAGTATTTCTTCATAATCATGTTCTTCATCATCTAGATCCTGTGTTTGGGGCTTAGTGGGCCTGTGGCCCTTCTTGTGGCCAGGAGTCTTGCTGTACATACTGGAGCTATCCTTGGTGAACTCTGGCAAGGTCTTCACCTTGGGTTTGGGTAGCACAGGGGCTGCTGTAATCCTAAGACTTGAGAGGACTTGACGCCTCCCTTCTCGGTGTTATGTCTCCTCTGTCTGCTGAGGCACTGACTTTTAGGGGGCCTTGGTGGAGAGGCTTGTATCTCACAGCCTGCTAACTTCTGAAGAGTGTAATAGAAGGTGTCTGGCAGCTCCTCCACTGTCGCTATGGGTACAGGTCCCTGTCCAGTCTGGCTGTACCTCAGCCTTCACGACAGTCAGGTCCAGCCACCGGGAGGAATCTAGAAGCACATCCCAGGCTCAGAGTCCAGGCTGACCACGAAGAAGGGCTCTGTGATCTTCTCCTCCAGCTGCAGACCCAGTACAGCAGTCAGAGGGTCAATAGGGTAACTGGGATCTCTGACCATCACCCTAATCTCAAAAGGCAGTGAGAACTGGGCAATCAGATCCACCAGGCTGTACCACTGGCTGTAACTCAACTCCTCCACAAAGCTGCCAGGGCAGTGGAGGGGCAGCAGGACCCGCTCTGGGCTCTCTGCCTCCTCATACTCATCACTCAGCCACTGACAAACCAAGACATCAATAACACTCCCCTGGGCCCCATGGGCCAGGCCAGGCTGCAGTACCTCTAGCCTGTCACCCACAGACAGGGATGTGAACTTAGGATTCTTCTCTCTCTTGCCCTCACAGTCCTTTGTGGCCACCACTTCGAGTGGCTGGTCTGGCTGGAATGCACCCAGGAGGTCACAAGCTGCGAGGAACTCCCTTGGCTGCCACCATATCTTGCCCTGGTAGGCCCCTGACACCAGGAAGTTCCTGGGCTCCCTGCAGCCCTTGTTTGAGGCCAGGACCTGCCAGAGTGGTGAGGCTAGGCCATAGATGCAAAGCCTCTGGCCTCTCTTCAAGGAGTGCACCCATGGGCTGAGGAAGATGTGGCACCCTTCAGGAACCTTCAGGATCTCCACGGACAGGGGGAAGGGGCCTTCCAGGGCCAGGACCTTACTCAGCAGCAGAGAGCCACGGGCATCATGGAACCCATGCCTCTGGAAGATTTCGTGCACACCCTGGACCTCATCTCCCTTCAGCACATGCTGCGGATCTCCTCGCAGTCCTACTATTCGAGCTCCATCTATGACTTCGGGGTGAAAGAGTGCTGGCTCTGCAAGGGGGACCTGATCAAGATCACCTAGGTTCGTCTCTAGTATGTGATCTATGAGAACCCAAAGATAACAATGGTGGTCAGGACGATCAAGCCCAACTTCCAGGGCCACTTTGTCTCCCTCAAGACCTCTCAGAGCTACCAAACCCTGGAGGAGCTGGTCTTTGACACAGATCAGAGCTCCCAGCAGCAGCTGCCCATTTGCATCATGTTCACCTTCAGGATTGTTACAGAGGACAGGGTGGTGACTGACGACCAGGTCCTCATTTGTGAGGCTGTGGTGCAGCACCAGCACACCTTCTGTGCCCACTGTGTCCTGGTCAGGGAGAGTGAGCAGGTCATCCTGCACCTGCCCCTAAACCAGAGGGGGTCCTTCAGGATATTGGAACCCAGTGCTCCTCAAACTCTGCTCCAGGCCCTGCAGGAACCGGAGGACCAGCTCTTCAGCTGTCCCACCCTGTCCTGGGACCACATGACCCTGAGGCCTTGAGATCAAGGCCATCATGCACATGAACAGGACCTTCGTCAAGATCCCCTCCAACCTGAAGGTCAATGTGAAGGACGTCACAGCCTCCTCCCAGCACATCCACTTCATCCAACCACTGCTGCTGTATGCCTCTTTTCTTATGCCACTCTTCTTTAATTTGTTCTTTTCCTCAGTAGTCATGTTAATCAGTCCAGAAAACACCAACCTAAATTATCTGATATGTGATGTAAAAGTAATTCTGAATAACTTGAGAAACTTTATGATAGAAAGGAGATTTCTCAACTTGTACAGAAATATAAATGAGACAAGAGAATAAAAAGAAAATAATCCACAGGCTTAAAGTTGCCAAAGATGAAATTATTAGAAAGCAGATAGTAAAAGTTACCATCACATTAAGTCATGAGATCATAAAGAGAGTATTTTCAAAGAGGAATTAAGCAACACCATTAGAAATATGTAGTAAAATGGAATCTTTTCAAAACAAGGTGCTTGCATATTAAGGCACAGTAGTGAAATAATTCAATTAATTTGAATATATACATAGTATCTATCATGTAAATCAATCTCCAGTAATGAATATGTATAAAACACATTATTCTCTAAGAGCTTATAGTTGAAAAGGAAAAAAAAGTACATGCAGATATGTGCAAGAGTGGAAATGGTAAACTATACAATACGTAGATAAGAAATATAGAGTTAAAAGAGAAGTTAAGTAATATTACACAAAAGAGATGAAGAATTAATTATATTTTGCTAGTGGGAGATTGCTAGAGAAAAAGGAAAAGATACTGAGCTCAAGGTATGGATGATTTTAAAAAAGCTGATATTCAGAAAGCTGGGTTGACTGCAAGCAGAATTTACATTAGAAAGTATGAAAAGATAATGTTTCAATGATTAAAGCCTGGGTTACATTATAGGATCCTCGAAAACAAATGAAACCCAAGATGAACACATCCAACTAGGTGAGATGTCAGGCACACATGTATTTTACCTATTTTAATTCTTCCATTCTATAAGATACTGTGAGTTGGCACTTGCCAGACATAAATGACAATGTTTGTAATCTATAAAATTCTTTGTCTAATTTTAATGAAGGAATTTTTCATTTTTGCAGTTATATTTTCACAGTATCCCAAACAATTCCTGAGCACATAGAATGTGGGTGTAACTGATAAAACTTCATGTGCAGATAAGGCTAAATTGCTGTGTAATCAGGTCTGATTGGGTCTGATTATGAAAGCTCTCCTTAATGAATACAAATGTTTGCTAGACTGTTTAAATTCCTTCTTATATTATTATGTATTCACTATACAATAATTGGGAGGCACTGAAGAACAACTATTCTTTTTTATAATTTCTATTTTATTTTTCATTGACACACAGTAAGTGAAAATATTTATGGGGTACAATGTGCTGTTTTGAAACATATATTGTGTAATGATCAAATCAGGGTGACCAGTATATTCATCACCTTAAACATTTCTTATTTCTTTATAATTTACACATTAAAACTCTTCTGTTTTAGCTATTTTTAAATATACATTTTTATTAACTCTAGTTTCCCAAATATGAAACAAAACACTAGAACTTATTCCTTCTATGTAACTGTAACAGCTTATCATTAACTAATCTCTCTCCTATCTCCTCTCCTCTATACTTCATAGCCTCTAGTAACTATGATTCTATTCTCAGCATCTACCATATTGACTTTTTAAAATTCTACATATAAGTATGATATTGTAATATTTGTCTTTCTGTGTTTGGCTTGAAAAAAAAAAAAGCTGAAGGCATCACAATACCTGACTTCCAACTATACTACAAAAATATATTAAGCAAAAAAGCATGGTATTGGCAAAAAAGACACATTGACTGATGTGTCAGAATAGAAAGCCCCTAAATATATCCATACACTTATAGCCTATAGGTTGTTGACAAGAGAGCCAGGAACGCACATTGAGAAAAGGACAGTCTCTTCAATAAATGGTGCTAGGAAAACATGTAGAAAAATAAAATTAGACCATTATCTTTCACCAGATGAAAAATCAACTCAAGATGGATTGAAGGCTTAAATATAAGACCTGAAACTATGAAACTACTAGAAGAAAATATAAGAAAAAAGCTTCATGACAGTGGTCTGGGCAAGGATGTTTTGGATAAGAACACAAAACTGGAAAAAAGAGAAAGAAACTAGATAAATGAGATTACAGTAAACTAAAAACCTTCTGCACAGCAAAGAAAATAATTAACAGAATAAGGAGAAAGTCTAAAAGTGGGAGTAAATATTTCCATATTTGTGAACTATACATCTGTTAAGGGTTTAACATCCAAAATATATAAAAAACTCAAACAACTCAACAGAGGGGGAAAAAAGCCTATTTAAAATGGGGGGTGAAAATACCTAAATAAATATTTCTCAAAAGAAGACATACAAAATGCTTAGCAAGTATATGAAAAAAGTTCAGCATCACTAGTCATTAGGGAAATGCAAATTGAAACCTGCTCACTCTTATTAGAATGACTGTTATTTAAAAAAAATGTAAGTTGAGACAAGAATGTGGAGAAGTGCGAGCCCTTACAATGATTGCTTAAAATGTAAATTAGCACAGCCATAATGAAAAATATTATAGAGGTCTGCAAAACATTAAATTTAGACCTACCAAATGATTCAGCAATCTTACTATTGGGTATATATTCAAAGGATATGAAATTAGTGTTGAAGAGATACTGATTTCACATCCTTTGAATATATACCCAATAGTAGGCAGGTATAACTGATAAAACTGCTTATGCAGATACTGCTAAATTGCTGTGTAATTGAAGAGTATATTGAAGAGATATCTGTACTCCCATATGTATTGTATGATTATGCACAATAGCCAAGGCATAGAATCCATCTAAGTGCCCATCAGTGGATGGCTGTTTAAAGAAAATGTGGTATATAAAATGGAATACTACACAGCTGTAAAAGAAATTCAAAATTTCTCTCATTTACAACACCATGGATGAACCTGGAGGACATCTATTCTGAGTCTTACATGCTTAAAGTTTTATTTTTATATAATGTTTAAAATAGTATTAATTGACTTTTTATATTATCTTTAAAAATTCTAGTATGCTAGTGAACTAGTAAGCCAGGTTATCCTTATGCAAACAATTAGTCATAATCATGTAGTAGCAAGTATCCTCTTAGAAAACGATATTTGCAACTTATTTGCACATATGTAGGTCAAATAATGTCCAACAAACAAAAAGTGAGAATATTAATACTGTTTTTTTAATTGAAGGAGAAATATGATTTTTAGCTAGAGTCATCTTTCTGGTTCATAAACTATAGGTTTGTAACACAACATATAAGGTAAATCAAAGAAGATACATACATCCCTATTGTCATTAGAGTAGTAATCTGGGGGTTTAAACTGATATTGCTCAGCAAAAGAGGCAGCTACGAATGGTAGGCTCTTTTTAACAAGTACAGAGAAAGGCAACTCATATAAACCTTTGCTATCTCTTACTTCAAATTTGTCAGGTTAATATACTGTCTTTCCTGTAAAGCTTGTCCATCCTGTTACTTTATTACCAGAAGGATTACCATCTCTTCTGGACTTTTGAAACATTTTCTCTCTAATGTTTTACCCATCCTTGCTAGTAAATCTCTTTCTAGGGTGCATTCATCTTTTCCTTCAAGCTTACATATATTCTGGGTCTTGATTCTATCACCTAGGTTATGTTTGATTTGTAAATATTCTAGTACTCACCCTCGAAACAACTGCTTTAAACTTCAACTTTTTTCTAGAATAAAATAATATGTAGGATATAAATTGTTCACATAATAAATAGGCAGGTGTATGTCTACAGCCCTTAGCCTAGTCACTGACAAGTAGAAAGAGCTTATGGCACTTTATTTTCTCCTTTCTCCTACCTTTATTTTCATGTCCATACTTCACAAATAAATGTCTGGAGCTATTCCATTTATTCATCATCAGATTTCAATCTGCTTCACCATTGCATGCTCTACAAAATTGTCTTCATCAAAAACCACCCCTGACCTTCAATTAGTCTCAATCCATCTGTTACAATTCTTCCCTCTCTGAGCTTTCAAGTGCATTTCACACTTTTAATTATTACCTTTTTCCTGAAACCCTCTTCTCCTTTGGTTTCCATGACCCTTATTTTCCTTTGCTTACTCCACTTTTTCTCTTCTTATCTCTAGAGAATTTAGTGGCTGGTTAAGCATATTTTTGCAAAGTTGTATGAAGATTCTAAAGCACTGACAGTAACTAGCAGTTTTGTTGGACTACTTCGCTTCTGTAACTTACCTTTATGATTCTATAAAATGGGTTGGTTTAATATAATTCACATCTAATATTCTATCAAAAGTAGAGATTATGGAATACAAGATTATTTTTATTTTAATTTAAAAAACACCATTCAAGTGACATATTAACTTATATAACAAAATAGATCATGCCATAGAAAGTTTATCTAAGGATGTGAGGAGTATAAAGTGCATAATAGAGTAAGTGACATAAATTTGTTGCCAGAGATGTATGTGTTTTCCTACAGAACTCTTTCATAGGGAACTTTTGAACATCACTAGGACTGCATTATCTTTTCACAAAATTAAAGGTCAACTAAAGAGCCCCCCTGTTGACTTTTCCTCCTGTCTCAAATTTCTATCTCAATTTTAGTATCATTAGTATTAGTCACCTGGAGTCAAAAATGAAACATGAATTTATTCATTCTAGACATAATTATACATAATAATAAACTTCATTTGCTTTTAAATATTTTTATTCAAAATATTACATAAAAAATTTTAATATAGATGCAATTTATTCATTGATTCAAATCTACTTAACACTAGTGTGTGCTGTTCTAAGCTATAGAATACATATCTGAAATTTCTGGAACATTTATTAAGAGAATAGATCTAACCGATTGCAACAGGATATCAAAAAGCTCATCCACCATGACCAAGTAGGATTCATCCCGGGGATGCAAGGCTGGTTCAACATATGCAAGTCCATAAACGTAATTCACCACATAAACAGAACCAAAGACAAAAACCACAGGATTATCTCAATTGATGCAGAAAAGGCCTTTGACAAAATTCAACAGCTCTTTATGCTAAAAACACTCAATAAACTAGGTATTGACGGAACGTATCTCAAAACAATAAA